TGATCACATTAGCAGATGTCTACAGTACATATGATAAAATTCAACATTCACTTATGAAATTCCTTGAAAAACTAGGGATATAAAAGAACATATCTTAAATTATTAAAAAAAAAAACAAAACACACAGATGACAACCTATTCTCAATGATGAAAACTGAAAGCTTTCTCACTAACATGTGATATAAGAGAAGAGTGTTCAATCTCACCCTGGCCTTTCAAATAGAGTATTGGAAGTCCTAGTGAGACACAGGGCAAGCTAGAAATTAGGCAGTTTTAGGGACAGTGCAGGAGGGGACCTCTGAAGAATTTAGGGAGGCTTCAGAGATAAGGACAACCAAGGGAAAGTAACCCATTCTACTAGAAAAAACAAACATCCCAGGACCAAGGACAACATTGTTAATGCTAGTCCTGGTTTTTTTCAGGTGGTAAAGGGAGGTGGAGAAATGGAGAGTGGTTTAATTTATGGACACATTAACTTCAATGCAGGGATGCCCATCCAGAACACTGGGCCATAAATTTAAAGATGCAACAAATGGGGAAAGAGAAAGCTGTTAGATAAGGAATGTGAAGATCCCCACTCAGTAGCAAATTAAGTGAGACAGACGAGAACTAACCAATCACAGAGACTGGTGGAGCTTTAGAATAATGAGGGAAAAAAGGTATATATTCCTTAAGACACAACTCCACTTTCGCTTCCTTGCCCCTCCCAGGCCTGGTTCCCTGGCCTGGGAGTCCCACTTTATTTCTGTTCTTTTTCTCCTCAATAAACTTTTTCTTTCTCTAAACAAACTGCCTCTTCTCGCTTGCTTGCCTGAGCGTCTGCGAAGTTCCTGCTGCGGCTTCGTGAGACACCAACCCGTGGGGTCTAGTGGCTGGGGCTCAGCGCTGCCCTGCAGCCTGGGATCCGTTCTAGGCTGGGAGACTAGGCCTGACAATTCCGGTATCACTAGCTAGAGTAATTAGGTAAGAGAAAAACAAAAAAGAAATCCAAGTTTGAAAAGAAGTAGAGCTGTATTATTACAGATACTATGACAGTATGTACAAACAACACAATATACATAGAAAACACACTAAAACTAATGAAGACAATTAGCTAAACAACAAAGAATTGTTACAAAACCAACACACAAGACATTGGTTCAAAATGGCAGCAGGGAAATGCTGCGAGTTAAGTCCTCGATAAAAAATAAATTAATAGGGAGGGAAAAAGGCGGGTCTCTGAAAAAACCAGGACACAGAAGATAAAAGGGCAACTCTGGCTAACTGCCCAAAGAGGAAAGGTGCCATACAAGAGGACGAAAAAAGAGGAAAGCTTGGAACCCTGCTACCCTCCCTCCTCCACAAAGCCTACACACTTCTACCAAAGAAAGAAAAACAACAACAAAACAACAATAAGAAGAAACTATAGATCAAGTGAGAATGTGAGTGGAAAGAACAGGCACCGCACCCTGAGAACGGGAATTGTAGTGGAAAAGTATATGCAGATCATAGACGCCCAGGCTCCCACCCCCAGGCTCCCACGCCCACGACCTTGGTTCCAGGGGAGACTCATGGGAACTGCCACTGAGGTGAATGACCCTCAATGAATAAACAAAAACCAGGCTCTCAGGCAGGGAGCAGGGTGCAAAAGGCACCATTTCTGCTGACACTGAGTGGGCTACTGCCAGCGTCGCAGATCTGAGGGCTTCGGAACTGAGACCCGGAGGATGAAATTTGGGGCGTGGGATCCCCAAGACACACGGCACAGGACAAACACAGCATCCCATGCCTGTGAGCCATTCTATGCCACACCCACTCGGTTCCCCGGAGACCCAGGGGGAAAAAGCACAGCTCTGGAAGGATACTAGGAAAGATATCTTGAGCCACTTAATTATCAGAACAAAATCACCAACTTCTTAATAGTTGGAAGCCAGTGAACCCAAAACCACCCTCAGGCTCTGAGAGGGGTGGGGCTCGCAAACGGAGGTAAGAAGGGAAACAAAAAGTGGAGAAAGACCCCATTCTGGAACTCAGAGCTAGGCAAAGGATTAGGGGTATGGAAAGTGCAGTAACAGTGGGCACTGCACAGGGTGACAGCTGTCAATTTGGATCTGAGACCCTGAAATTGAGAACTAGAGCACAGAATTCAGAGCACGGGATGCATACAGCCACAGGCACAGCACCCGGTGAACATGGGGCAGACACAGCGCCCAGCATGAGCAATAGCCCGTGTCGAGGTGTTCCCCTCCTCCTCTCCATTTCTCAGAAACTACAAGGGGAAAGCACAGGTCATCAAGTACAGGTCTCTAGCGCCTAGTGACCAGAACAAAATCACCACTGATTCCCTACTAGAACTGAGTAAATATGGAGGCAGGAAACTCTAAGAGACAGTGCCCAGCAGCACAGCCACAGCATCAACACCCTGATGTAGTTTTGGCCTACCACTGCTGCTCTCAGTCTGGTAAACAGTTTTCAACACCCCTGAAGGAGCAATCCAAAGAGATGCCCGCCAACACCACAACATCCTAACGCACCGAACCAATTAGAAAGCAATCAGCAGGGAGAAAGGAAAAATACAAATAACCAAGCAAGCCTGCAGGAGAAGGACACACCACAAAAAGAAAATCAGTCACCACAGTCAACAATGAAATGACATGAAAATCAAAATCACACTGAGATACCACCTTACACCAGTAAGAATGGCACTTATCAAAAAAAAAAAAAAGGCAACAACAAATGCTGGCAAGGATATGGTAAAAAAAAGCAACTCTCCTACACTGCTGGTGGGAATGCAAACTGGTCCAACCACTATGGAAAGTTGTCTGGAGGTTCCTCAGTTTACTGAAATTGGAGCGACCATATGACCCAGCAATTCCACTACTAGGGATCTACCCAAAGGACACAAAAACACTGACTCCAAAGAACACCTGTACACCTATGTTTATTGCAACTATGTCTATTTACAATAGGTAAAACCCAGAGACAGGGCCTCCGCTGGTGGAGCAGGTGGTTGAGTGCAATGCTGTGAAGCTGTCCGCAGCCTCTGCAGCACAGGTTCCAACCTGGCTGGCCGGCAAGATACCCACATGGTGAAGCAGACCTCTCCTGTCTCACCACTGCGCCTCTCAGCAGTGGATTTTAGTCAGTCTGCCTGTTCCCTCTGTCTCTGGTGACTCCTCTCACCCTCCTGAGCCTCTGGCCTGTACCACAGTTCTTGTATGAATAAAATAAAATAAATCTTTCAAAAAAAAAACCCAAAAAACAACAATGTGGGAACAACTCAAATGCCCAAAAATAGATGGCTGGATCAGAAGATGTGGCATATATATACACAATGGAATATTATTCAGAAATCAAAAAAGCAACATGGATGGAACTAGAAGGATTTATGTTCAGTGAAATAAGCCAGAAGGAAAAAGAAAAATACCTGATGGTTTCACTGATAGCAGGAATATAGGGGAATGAAATAAAACATCAGTGTAAAAAAAAAAATAACAGTACAAAATACAACAAAGCAAAAAGGGACAATTATAAATTAGAGACATACAGCAGGGGAGGAGGAGGAGAAGGATCAAAGGGAGGGAGAGCAGAGGGGACTGAGATGATGGTGCATGGGTGCACTGGTGAAGGAAACTCCATGGGGACCTTCACCTGAGGGCGTAAGGGGAAGCAAATATTGTTTAAAAATGAACAACAATGTAAAAAAATATTTTAAATTAATAAAGAAAAGAAAATCTCAAAAAAAAAAACCAAAATCAATACACAAAATCAGTAGGTTTCTTATATGCAAAAATCAATCCACAGAGGGAGAAATTAAGAAAATCATCCTATTTAAGTACTGTCCCCAACAAGAATTACACTTTTGGAATAAACCTAAAAAAGGAAGTGTTATATAAAGGAAAACTAAGAAACACTGTAAAAAGAAATAAAAGGAAAGCATAAATGAAAAGGTATTCCCTGTTCTTGAATCTAAAGATCAACTCTACCAAAATGGCCATCCTACCCAAAATAATTTGAAGATTTAATGCAATTCCAATAAAAAGCCAACGGCATCCTAGAGGAGAACAGAACAAATATTACTGAATTTCATTTAAAATCACAAAAAAAAAAATTGGGCCTCCCTGGTGGCGCAGTGGTTGAGCACTGGGCTGCACGAAGCTGCTTGCAGCCTCTGCAATGCTGGTTTGATCCCCCGCGGTCACTGGCGAGGGTTCCACATGGCACGACAGACCTCTCCTGCCGTACCTGCTGCTCCCCTCAGCATTGTATTTTGTCAGTCTGCCTGTTCTGCTCCCCACTCTGGCTCTGCTGAATTCTCTCACCCTCCCGTGCTTCTGACTGTACCCAGTGCTTGTATAAATAAATAAATAAATAAATAAATAAATAAATAAATAGATTCATAAAAAATCCCTAAATAGTTAAATTTCTGCTGATCAAAAAGGGGAAGGGCAGGGAGGTCGTTATTTGACTCTCAGACTTCAAACTATACTACAAAGCCATGTTAATAAAAACAGAATAGTAGTGCAACTCAAACAAATAGTACAATGGAAGGAAACTGAAAGTCAGGAAATAAAGCTACACATATGGACAAGTAATCTATGACACAGAAACAAAAAATACTGGACTAAGGAAAGTCACTTTAATAAATAAATGGTCTGGACTGCAACACGCACAATAATTAAATTAGATCACTTTCTCACACAATGTGTAAAAGTCAACCCCATACGGCTTAAAACTTGTCTATAAAATTGCAAAAGATACAAAAGCAAACCTAGGCAAAAGACTAACTCAGAAACACCTTTGAGGTCCTGTCTCCAGTAACAAGCAAAAAAGGGAGACTATAAATTTCTGGGATACATCTAACTTTAATCAAATCCTGACAACTGTGAAGGTTAGATTCTCTCTTCTCCCAAAGGTTGAAATATCTAATTAGGAACATAATATACAGTTAGCTAATTTCACACAAAAATTAACATGAATAGCTACCAATAAAAGCTTATAGATCAAAGTGAAATTCTTACCAATAAGACCTCCTGGAGCAGCATACTGAAGATCATTATGTTCTGCAAAAAGTGATACAATTTTGGAAAAAATTGGCTTACACAAAAGTTTTCCTCCATTATCTTTGGAAACAATACCAGGTCGAACTTCTAGCTCCTGGCCCACCTGAAACATGTAAGTGAGAAATTAAAATACTTGAAAGAACACAATTTTGATGATAAGTAAACAGTTCTAAGAGACAGCTTGCTTAACTGGAATGAGGTTCATTTTATCTGCAAGAATGATTTCAATTACTTTAAAAAGAAAACCTTAAGGGCCTCCCCTGGTGGTGCAGCAGTTGAGCGCTGGGCTGCGACGCTGCTTGCAGCCTCTGCAGAGCCGGTTTGATCCCTGGTCTCCCCGGCCACTGGCAAGGGTCCCACATGGTGCGCAGACCTCTCCTGCCGCCTGCTGCTCCCCTCAGCAGTGTATTTCATCAGTCTTCTGTACTGTTCCCCATTCTGACTCTGGTGAGTTCTCTCACCCTCCCACGCTCTGACTGTACCCAGAGCTTATATAAATAAATAAATCTTAAAAAAAAAAGCTTAAAAATACAGAAAAACCACAATCATCTGATTGTTAAATATGACCTAAAAAATAAAAAAAAAACCCCACTATGATTAGATATTAACAAATATTTAAAAATATAGCCTAGTAGCTTTTGTACAGACATGGAACAGAAAAGGAAACTGCAAAATATCCAGCTGATTTAAATGCGAAGCTTCCTCATAAAACAATGGATGGAATCCAGGATTACCACTGCTTAGGACTCAAAAGAATGGAAGTAGTTCCAGAAGTTATGGAGGGTAAAAATTCATCTGATGATAAAGATATTTTAGTAATTCAATCAGGCGAGGTCATTTCCCCAACAAATAAACAGTGAAATGCTTGGAAAGCAGGAAAGAAAAATAATGAGGTTCTTCTGCAAAAAATAGTTGATATTTTTTCTGCACAGCTACAGGATTTTGATTGGCAGTTCAGAACTGTACTTTCTAATAACACTGTTATATTACAAATGCTGCTTTTAAACTTTCATGTACATGTAAAAACACATAGCAAAGTCAAATCATATTCTGTTCAAACTATAAAGAGGTGCAGAATGTTAACAAATTCCTTAGAAGCAGCTAATAAGGTGATGTAGCAATTGAAATATTCAGAAATGATCCATCCCAACGCTACTAGATTCTACTGCCGCAAATGATATACAAAACAAACTGTGTATTTCAAAGTCAGAGATATATTAACTTTAAAAGCAGAGAAAACAGTACTAAGATTATAAAGATAAATCTGTAAGATTATAAAGATAAACCTGTAAACAACAAAAAATTACAAGGCTGATGGCAATGCATAAAAATAGCTAAAAAGGCTAGGACAGCAACTCAATTTCCATATTTAAAACAATATAAGCACACAGCACAAATGCAAATAAATATTACTTGAATGTGTATAGCAACAATGTGTTATTTACAAATATTGTAAGCTTAATATAAAAATTAAAGAGTCCTTATTTTTCTCATAATTCCAAGAAAAATTATAAAATATATAAAAGCCCTTTTGACATGAGCAAGAAAAAATGACGAGGGCCTTCCTGGTGGCATACAAGCTAAGTCTCACACAGGGAGCTAATACACATATGGTGCAACAGACCTCTCTTGTCTCTCTCTCGCGCTCTCTCTCTCTCTCACACACACACACACACACACACACACACACACACACACACATTACATTACATTTGTGTGAATAAGTTTGAGTCTAGAATTACAGTAACTAGAATTTTATACTGGGAACAACAAAAAAAGTAACTCTGTTACTTTCACATTTCTGTTTCTGATGGGGAAAGTATGCTCTGATAAAAAGAACAGCTCTCACTATACAGTACATATATACACAGTTGGTCAAAAATCAATTAAGATTATACACAGGTTAACTTTTTTATAGACTTAATAATCAACTAACACTTCTGGATTTTAACATCATTGCATCACAACCATTTTTAATTTCAGTTAACTTTAAAAATGAGTGCTCAATAAATAAAAATGTTATTTCAGGGCCTCCACGGTGGCACAGGGGGTTGAGCGCAGCACTATGGAGCTGTCGGCAGCACGGGTTCGATTCCTGGCCGGCCAAGGAGATGCCCACATGGCACAGCAGACCTCTCCTCTCTCACCCGCTGCTCCCCTAAGCAATGCTTTTGGTCCGTCTGCCTGTTCTGCTATCTGTTCTTTCTCTGGTGAATCTTCTCACCCTCCCGCACCTCTGACCTGTACCCCAACTCTTGTATAAATAAAAATAAAATCTTAAAAACACAAAATAGAAAACAAAACAATATAAAAAATATGAATTTTAGATTCCATTTTACCATGTATTTTTTTCTGGTTAAGAATTTAACATTCAGGGACTCCCTGGTGGCACTAGAGGTTAAGATGCAGCACTCTAAGGCTGTCCACGGCTACTGCAGCATAAGTTCGCTCCCTCACCAGGGAAGTGACCCACATGGTGCAGCAGGCCTCTCCTGCTGCTCCCCTTAGCAGTGTATTTCAGTCAATCCACTTGTTCTGTTCCCGACTCTGTCTCTGGTTCATCCTTTCATCCCCCGCAGCTCTGGCCTATACACCAGTTCTTGTAAGCATAAATAAATCTTAAAAATGAAAAAAGAATTTAACATTCAGTTTACCTTTAATACTCCTTTTAAAATACTACCACCAGCCACACCCCCTTTAAGGTCATCAACTTCACAGCCAGGTTTGTTGACATCAAATGATCTAATAACTTGGAAGGGGTAGGTAAGAAAAGAAATATAAAGCTACTGTTATCTTAATTAGATGAAATATTGATTCAAATTCTAACACTGATTAATTCTATCATAAAGGAGACCAGTATGATATAGCTCACTCTGTGGTAAAATGTTATTCACAATACTTACCATATTCTTACTTACTAACAAAAAAATGAAAAACTTGATTAATTTGACTGCAAATGCTTTATGTATACTTTGGAGGACAATGTAACTATAATTAAAAAAAAAATTCTTTTAATAATATTCTAAAAAAACCCAATTTTTTTTTTAAATAATACTAGGTATATAACTGTGTAAAGAGAAAGTTGTTCTGGAATAAGTTATGTTCTTCCCCAAAATTCATGCTGATATTCAAACCTCAGAAAGTGACTATTTAGAGAGTGAGAGAGTTTTTTAAAGAGTTTATCAGGGGAGGTGGGCATAATCCAATTTGAACTGGCTTTCTAGTAAGTAGAGATTTGGATTTAAAGAGAGGAAAACACAAGGCTACAGTAAAATGGCGGTCATCTAAAACTCAAGATTATAGACCTTAGAAGAACCCAACACTCTGCTGATACCCTGATCTCCAATTTCTTTCACAATTGATTTCCACTGTTTCAGGCACCCAGTGATTGGTATTTTGTTATGGCACCCACTGCAAAGAAAAACATTCACCCTTACTATAATGGGGGAGGAAAAACACTTCTATGATTACTTTCATTTAAAAAGATTTGTACTGGATTCTCTTTAGAGCAAATAAATGTTTCACCTTTTAAGAGACTGTACATGTGCACATGTTTATATGGACAGAAAGCTAGGAAAACATGTTTGCATCTGTACTGAAAAATTAATTTTTTCTTTATATACCACTGTATTTTAGGACTTCCCCAATAAAACCTATTTTTAAAATTAGAAAATAATTGTGGAATTTTATAAATCATGTAACAATAGTTCTTACAAAGACAACGTATCACAATATTTCTCAAACCACATACGAGGCCTGGATAAAAAAGCAGTAATGTAAAATGTTCTGGAGAGGCTTCTAGTAATTTGTACACAAGAACCTCAAACAAATCAAATTATACTATTACGATGATTATTATAAACCTAATTAAGGGAAAATAAAAATCTTCATTGAAGCATTCCCATATCATCTGTATAGCAGCTCGAATATCCTGTTCTTGATTGAAAAAAATATATTTCTCTAATCTCAATTACATGATAAACCTTATTCACAGGAAAAATGTTTAACACTTGTATTTTACTCAGGATCCTATTTCTTATCCAATTTAGCATAGAAATGACAATTTAGGAATTAGTCTACTTTAATATAATGTATAAACCTTTTCATGCCACGAAGCTGAAAATGAAATGCACTGTCTTCATAAAGCCAATCCTTACCAATAAGCCGGGGTTCTGAAGTAAAGTCTCTTAAAGGTACAGGAATTTTCTTTACAATATACTCACACACCACTTCAATATTGTATTTCAGCTGAGCAGAAATTGGAATAATGGGAGCGCCTTCTGCTACTGTACCTGTATGACAATCAAAATTTGTTAGTTTTACAGAAAGTGTTCAATTTCTTACATAAAACAATGGTTAAGATCACAATTGCTATCTAAATACCACCAACATGTGGAGAGTGAATGTTCAATTTAGGAAGATGACAGTATTTTTTTTCCCTTTGAAAGGGGACACTATTCTCTTGAAGTGAAAAATTATGAAATTATGTAAATAAACATAACAAAAAGATTAAAAAAATAATCATTTTTAAGTGTTAAAGAAATAAAATGCTAGCATCACTAGTTCGAAAGATTTCCAATGACACGTAAAATACATTTCAGACCATCTGCTTATCAAAGATTGCTAGAGCAAGGTTTGCTCCTTATGTTCAAATATAACATAAGTCATATCTTGCCCAAATGTTTTAAAGAAAGGGACATTAAAAATTAAACAAATTTGGGCCTCCCTGGTGGTGCAAGAGTTAAGATGCAACCTATGAAGCTATCTGCAGCCACTGCAGCATAAGTTTGATTCCTGGCCAGCCAAGGAGCAATCCACATGGCACAGATCTCTCCTAAGTCACCCACTGCTCCCCTCAGCAGTGTACTTCGGTCAATCTGCCTATTCTGTTCCACACTCTGTCTCTGGTGAATCCTCTCATCCCCACCACCCCCCATACCTTTGTCCTGTACCCCAGCTCTTGTATGTATAAGTCAGTCTAAAAAAAAATTAAATCACTATCAGTCCTACTTCAAGAAAAACTCAGAGAATAAACAGTATCAGAATAGCCAAACATCAAAATGAATGCAGTTTTCATCTGTTTTACTCCCACGCTTTTTAGAAAGAGTTCTAAAAAATTTTGACTGGCGCTTGCTTTGAAGCACATACTTTAAAGCAGGAACAACATAGATTAGCATGGTGCATGCCCATGCAGAATGTGCAAATCTGTGAAGCTTCAGAATTTTTATCATCATAAAGAAGCTATTATGTCATTAAAAAAGAAAAAGTAGGGGCATCCCTTGTGGTGCAGCAGGTTCAGCGCCACACTGTGAAGCCGTCTGCAGCCTCTGCAGTGCAGATTCTATCACAGGCTGGCCAGGGAGAAATCCACATGGTGTAGCAGACCTCTCCTTTCTCGTCCGCTGCTCCCATCAGCACTATTTTTGGTTAGTCTGCCTGTTCTGCTCCCCGCTCTGTCTCTAGTGAATTCTCTCACCCTCCTGCACCTCTGAGCTGTACCCCAGTTCTTGTATAAATAAATCTTTTAAAAAAAGATAGAAAAGTAAAAAAAATTAGTAAAAAAAAAAAAGTAAAAAAGAAAAGGATAAAAATTTGGTCAGTAATAAAATCACTTCTTTTCTGTCTACAGTGCTCTTTGAACACATCAAATTCAGAAACAGGCTTCAGTGATGCTGTTCAAACAATGGCTAAAAGCAACAAATATGTTAAGTAAGTACTAGTAAGCAAGGTTTACAACCCAGAAATTCACTTCATCTTTCAATTAATCTGCTTTTCAGAGCAGTACAGATACTCACTAAATATTACAGCTTCTTACCTTGTATAAATGCAAGGATCTGTTCATATTGTTCTTTAGCCTGACTTTCCTTTACCAAATCAATTTTATTTTGTAAAATCAAAATATGTTTTAGCTTCATAATTTCTATGGCAGCAAGGTGTTCAGAAGTCTGAGGCTGGGGACAAGACTCGTTACCAGCTAAATTGATAATGAAAAATTAAAGACAAAATAGAACAAACAAAAAATGAAGAGGACTAATAACAATTAGGTTATATCTAATAAATACTTTGGATGTCCAATTGAAAACAAATTTCTGGATAACATTATTGTTTTCCTAGATACCCTGTTTAAACTCCATTAATCTGATTGCATTAGATTCCCAGGGGGGATGGAGTGGGCGGTAAGGGGGGTTTGTGTTTAGCTGTATGTTTAGAATAGCTAACAAGAACTATAATTATCAAAGCTTTAGAGGTAGATGCCACCAAAGATGACCCCTGGCCCTATCTCCCAGTCTTCAACACCATGTTACTCCCTCCTTTAAATATGAGGAAACTAACAACTTACTTCAGAGAGAGCTGTGTTAAAATGATGGGATGTCACTTTTTAAACAAGGTTACAAAGATTGGCTTCTATCTGAGAAGTTTGTTGTTTCTCTAAAACATCTGTCATGCAATGAGAAGACTGGGGCAACTACGTAAAAACCCCATGTGAGAAAGAACTAGGAAATACGTAAATTTATAAGCCAATTCTTCAGCTTCAGACAAATCTTGGTAATTGTAGGATTTCCTGACAGATTATGGTAATCAGTTTGGGCCAGAGGAAAAAACCTCTAAGCCAGAAAAATAGCAATTAAATGTTTGCTATGCTCAAAATTAAGTTTTGCGTTATGGGGCTCTCCAGTTAAAAAACTGAGCATTTTTGTTAGCTGACTCCCATAAAGCAAAGAAATAATTATCATCCATTTTTATGGAAAAAGTTTCAGTGTGCTCAACCTCAACAACATATAGTAAAAGTCCTAAAAACCACCAACATATACCAACAGCAGAAATGATATGGCAAATATACCACCCATAGCTTTACTCTCAGGGAAGGAACTTGGAGGGATACTCTTGTTAGTCAAGGTGGAGCACTGCTCTCATATTGACTTGCAACCTTCAAGCAAAAGCTAAACATTGTTTTTGTTTTGTTACCTCCTCATTAAGCAAAAGTTCTCTCGGTTTCTTTTGGCTAGTAAACTCAGTTACTAATTGAGGTCTTTTAAATAATCAGTCACATAAATAAAGCTTTTCGAAAGTGGGATATATTTGTCTTTGCCTCATGGTAATAGCAAGCACAATTCACTTTTTTTTTTAATAAAAGGAAAAACATTGTCTTAAAACATTGTCTTAAAAACATTGTCTTAAAACATCTTAAAAAATAACTAGCAGGATATGTGTTCAATACATCAATGAATAGTTCTGCTAAACCACATTCATACCACATTCATACGTCATAAAAGCCACAATCTTCTATAGTAAACCATCTGGTCTTGATATTAAACAGGGATGGTCTTTGTCTTAGGACTTTCTGAAGATAACCTATATATATCATCCTTCATATGAGTGACCTTATTATCAAAGCTTTAGAGGTAGATACCAACAAAGATCACTCCTGGCCTTATCTCTCAGTCTTCAACACCACTGTTACTCCCTCCTTTAAATATGAGGAAACTAAAGACTTACTTCAGAGAGAGCAGTGTTAAAGTGATGGGATGTCACTTTTTAAGTAAGGTTACAAGATTGGCTTCTATCTGAGAAGTTTGTTGTTTCTCTCAAAACATTTGTCATGCAAAGAGAAGATTGGGGCTTACCATACCAGCTCTTAGGGTGAGACAGTCACATCCATAATGGTAGGGTAAAGGGAGACAATGCCTGAAAGGCATACCATATGATTTAGAGTGATGACATGAAGTCTCAGTAGATATGGAGATGAAATCAACCATATGTGTTATTTCAATTGCAGGAAATGCAATAAAAACTCTAAATATTGAAACTGCGTAGCTTCCCTGCTTGGTGGTATTTTTGTATGGAATGTCACCATTGATACCAGGAGAGTAACTCTTCTTTACACAAAGATAACAATGGAAGTTTCATCTTTAGAATCTTCCTGAAGTCCTTCTTCCTCCTTTTACTAAACTCAATATAATGACTCAATACAAGTGTAATAGCTGTTAGTGATATCTGAATCTAACAAACCTGAGCGGTTTGGCCAACACTCTAAACTTACAGTTGGTGTCAGCAGTAAAGCAACCTTGTGTAACAACAGTGCCTTCTAATTTTATATTTTCCCCTGGATTCTGTGCAGCCTCTTACCAAAAACACCTCTAAACATTTGAATAAGAAACATGAGCCATTCTAAAAAAAAAAATCAAAACACTCCCTCCATACCACTTACACACTTGTATACAAAAATCTAAATAAAAGAACAGTGGGAAAAATGGACTGTTGACTTAAAAGTTATGGGTGTTTAGTTCCCCTTATTGGGTATTTTGTGATGATAAGCATACATGCCATGCATGCTAATTTAGATGGTCTGGTAGTTTCCATTAATTGCTACTATAGAGATCAGTGTTTCCCTTTAAACATCTCATCTTGGTTAATTTCACAAAGATTTGTCCAAACCAATTCTGATTTATTTACCTATCAACAGAAGAGCTGCATCCATCACTGCTGCACCATTCAGCATAGTTGCCATCAAAATATCATGGCCAGGGCAGTCAACAAAGGAAACATGTCTAATAATCAAGAACCAGTTTTAATAATTATTTAATTAGCTTCAATAAATATTTACATATACAAAAAAAGACTTTTGAAAATTAATCATTTCAAAAACAATCTTGCTACAAAGTAAAATGGCTATAAACTTGAGAGTCCCAGAATTTCAAAGTGACATTACTAGCTGAAATCAAGATGACTGAAGATCATTTTGCAGATGTACTTTACCCAAAAACAAGGCTCTTAAAAAAGTTGGGGAAACGTCCAAATTCAGTCAAAGTGAAGACAGACTATAGAATATATACTAAATATCATATATTTGAGAGCCAAACCTAATGAACAAAATGACATTTATTTACATTATTTGCTGGTTACAGATACTCTTCAAGTCCGTGATCCATTTTCTAGTTGAAGCATTTCTTTTGTTGTTGAGTTTTTGAGAGTTCATGTAATTTATAAATATTTCCTTTGGGTCAGTCTCTTATCTTTTGATTACCAACAGGTTCTTTTGCTGAAATATTATTTTCAACTTTGATGAACTACCAATTTTTTCTTCTAAGGATTAACCTTAGCAAACTATTTAAAAACTGCTCAAGCAGCCCAACCCTAAACGGTTAACCTAAGTAGGGGTGACAAGTTTGTTTTTAAGTATGCAAGGATGACTGAGTATGTCTGAAAACTATAGTCCCTGAGGACCATGAATTATAAATTACTTTCTTATAATTAGTGTAACGTGAAATTAAATCACACAAACCATTTACACATTAGCACCCCTAGTAAAGTAATAAAGGTGCAAATCTAACAAAAATGTACAAGATCTGTAAGAGAAAAATCTTGAGTCTAATAAATGAAATAACAATTGGTGAACCAATGAGTAGGCAACTCAATGTTAAGATGTCAGTTCTTTACTGACGAACTGATTCATTGACATCCAATCAAATACCCTATTATTTTGTTAGTGCTAGCAAACTTATTTTAAAATGATACAAAGAGTTAAAACTCAGCATAGCCAACACAGTGGTCACTGAAAATATCAAAGTTTAAAGACAGATAATTCTGTCTTTACCCACTTCAACATTTACTGCAAAAGTCAGAATAATCAGAGCTACACTAGCGTGTGGTAAAGGACAGGATGCACCTCTGGGAGGGACAACAGCATAGAGAAACAAAACCTCCATAGAACTCAGCAAACCATAGCCTGGTCAGGTAAAGTCAGGGAGTACTCTATTGCAGTAATCTTATACAGTCATCTGTGGCACTTATCAGCAGTTTACCCAGATAGACACCAAACAGTCCCAACAGCAAGGACATACCCAACTGGACAACCTCCACTGGACAGAGCAAGCCCAAAAACAAACAATGAGGAGAAAAAAAAATGCAAATTGTCAAGCAAACCCTCCTGGGAATGATACTTCATAGACAGAATATTAATCTCTAGTACCCAATACACTGATATAGAAGAATTTCTCTGCTTGACACTTGAAGAAATCAAAATTCTAACAATTTAAAAATTCAAGAATATAAAATGAAAAGACAGCTATGAGAAACACAATCAACGAACAGGTAAATGAGATTGAAACTAAAAAAATGAAGGAGCTATAGGATATTAAAAGATCAATGGAGGAGAGCTAAAAAATTCTGGAAATATACATGAAAATAGGTGCTATGAAAGAATAAACCAGTACTCCTGAAGTTACAAAAAAAGAAAAAAGAAACAAACAACAATAACAAAACCTAAAGGAAAGTGATCTACAAAGGAAAAAGAATGAGGAAGTATTTCAAGAATTATCAGGCACCAACAGCAAAGGAAAGATTAAATCATAGGAATCCCAGAAGAAAAGACATGGAAATTGAGGAACTATTCAAGGAAAAAAGTGAAGAGATCTTCCCAAAACTGAAGGAAATGAAAACAGACATATAGGAAGACAGGACAACAAACTACCATAACAGAGGAAAACTACAGCAAGACACATCACAGCAAAGCTTCCAAGAGTTCAAGACAACGAAAAATAATGAAGCTGACGTGGAAGGAGAAAGATAATCTATAAAAGAAAACCAATCAGGCTGACATCAGACTATACTGCAGAAACATTACAGGCCACAAGAACATGGAGTGATATATTAAAAAAAAAACCAAAAAACAAAAAAACAACCAAGCCTGGGCATCCCTGGTGGCTCAGTGGGTTGAGCTCAGCACTGAGAAGCTGTTCCACAGTCTCTGCAGTGTGGGTTTGATTCCTGGCTGGCCAGGGAGAGTCCCACATAGCACGGAACATCTCTCCTGTGTGGCCCACTGCTCCCCTCAGCAGTATATTTCAGTCAGTCTGCCTGTGCTGTTCCCCGCTCTGTCTCTGGTGAGTCCTCTCACCCTCCAGCAACTCTGGGCTGTGCCACAGCTTTTATATAAAAATGGATAGATCTTTAAAAAAAAAAAAAAAAAGACAAAAATGTCAGCAAAGAATATTCTAGCCTGCAAAGCTCTCCTTCCTTTAAGGGAGAGAGAGCAATATGGATGTTCCTAGACAGACAAAATCTTCAGAAAGTTGTTACTACTAAACTCCAGCTCCAAGAAATTTTACAAGAAGCCACAAAATCTAAACCAACAGAAGGAATGAACAGGAGTAACTGAACAAGGTATTGAGCAGAAGCACAAAACAATTACAAAATGCTAATAATAAATTCATGTGTCAATGATCATCTTAAAGGTAAATGGACTAAGGCCTCCCTGAGGTCTAGGAATTGAGTCTGGGCACTATCACCTCTACCACTAGAATTCGATCCCTAGACAGGGAATTGACCTACAGAAGGCGCAGCAGGACTTCACTTTTCTCACCTACTGCTTCCCTTAGCAGTGTATTTCAGTAGATCCGACTTTTCTGCTCCCCACCCAGTGTGTCTGATGTGCCCTTCCACATCTCGGGCCTACATTCCAGGTCTTCTATTCAAAAATAAAGAAATAATTTTTTTTTTTTAAAAAAAGGTAAGGAGCCTCACTGATGGTGCAGTGGGTTGAGTGAAGCGCTGTGAACCTGTCCACAGCCCAGGCAGCACCGGTTCAATTTCTGGCTGCCTAGGAGAAACCCACATGGCATGGCTGACCTCTCCTAGCTCTCCTGCTGCTCCCCTCAGCAGTGTCTTTGGTCTGTCTGCCTCTATTCTGCTCCCTATGTCTATGGTGAATTTTCTCACCCTCCCACCATCTGGCCGGTACCCCAGTTTTTGTAGAAATAAATAAATCTTTAAAAAAAAAAAAAAGGTAAAAGACAAAACTCCTCAATGTCATAGAGTAGCATGCTGAATTACAGAACACAATCCAACCAGATCTTAAAGACAAAGTAAAGGATTGGAAAAACAATTCTACATGCAAATGTCCCCAAAAGAGGGCAATGGCAACCATACTTGTAGTATTAGATAAAATAGACTTCAAACCAGTGGCTTACCTGGGGGCACAAGGGGTTAAGATGCAGTATTAGGGAGCAATCCCCACCCACTGCAACACGAGTTCGATCCCTGGCCTGCCAGGGAGCTACCCACATGGTGCAACAGACCTCTCCTAACTTACCTGCTGCTCCCCTCAGCAGTATACTTCAATCAGTCTGCCTGTTCTGTTCCCCACTGTCTCTGGTGAATCCTCTCACAACCCTGAACCTCTGGCCTGTACCCCAGTTCTCATATGCATAAATATATAACTTTTTTTAAAAAATAGACTTCACCTAAAAAAGGTTGTAAGAAACATGATCAATTGGACACACAATTATCAATGGGACGACACAACAGGAAGTCCTAACACTCATCAATGTACACTCACCAAAGGAGGGAGAACGAAAATGTATTAGAGGATTGCTATCACCTCTGAAAACAGCCATGATAGAAAATGTTTGCGTCAGCACCCCTCTCTCACCAATGGTCTGAACAGTAAGACAGAAATAAAACAAGGACATAGCAATCCTAAATAAAGATCTAGACCACATCAAACATACATCTAAAGACCTCTGTACCTCTTAAAAACCAAATACACAGTTTGCTCAAGTATACATGGGTCATTCACCATGATTAATCACGTGCTGGGTTACAAGACAAATATCAACAAATTTGAAGACTGAAATTAAACCAGTATCTTCTCTGACCATAAGGCATCAAACTAGAAATCAACTTTGAAAAGCAAGCAAGGAATCCCCCCACTATATGGAGGCTGAAAACAACTGGATTAATGAGGAAATCAAACAAGAAATCTAAAAATACTTTGAAATGAAGTACAATGGGCACAATAACAAGAAGAAAGTATACAGTAGCACAGGTCACATCAAGAAACAAGAAAGAATTCCCCCCCAAACCAACCTGATTTCCCATCTCGAAGAACCAGCAGATGAACAAAAGACCCCCCAAATTCAGTTGAATTGAAATAATAATAATTCAGAAAGAAATAAATGATATAAAAATTAAAAAAAATCCTAAAAGATCAATGAAACCAAACATTGGTTCTCTGAAAAACAAATAAAAGACAAACTCTATCGCCATGTTCAAAAAGAAAAAAGGAGAGAAAACTCAAACAGGATCACAAATGAAAGAAATTACAACAGACAGAAGAAATCCAGAATATAATTAGCTATTACTATGAACATCTGTATTCAAACAAGTTCAGCAATCTAGGTGAAATAAGCAAATTCTTAAAACCGTATAAAGCTGAATAAAGAAGAAACAAAAACTTAAGGCAATTACAAGCAAGTAAATTTAAACAATAATCAAAACCCTCCTCAAAAACAATAGTTCAGGGGCCTCCCCTGGTGGCACTGTGGTTGAGCGCTGGGCTGCAAAGCTGCTCGCAGCCTCAGCAGCGCCGTTCGATCCCCGGTCGGCGAGGGTCCCACATGGCGCGCAGACCTCTCCTGCCGCCCGCTGCTCCCCTCAGCAGTGTGTTTCAGTCCTTCTGCCTGTTCTGTTCCCCGCTCTGGCTCTGGTGAATTCTTTCACCCTCCTGTGCTTCTGACTGTACTCAGTGCTTATATAAATAAAATAAAAT